ATGAAAGTAGTCTCATATGTCATGTATCCAGTATTTCCATCTCTTCCAACTGTCGATAGGCTCGTCTTCAAACCACTCTCCGGGATAGACCAGGTCCCCTTTATTTAGATGTCTTTTAACGGCGTCGGACATTGTTCAGCGGCCAGGTTTGTTTTTAATTCCAGAACCCCTTCCCATGAAAGGAAGAGAGAAAGATAGAATAGCGTAATGTGTGTCTGTGCTTCAATCACGATCGCGTAACGGACACTATATATAGATTACTATACATAAGTACACAAGATATAATAAAACTGGAGGGTCAATAAATCAGTATGCAAATTAAATTCTTCGTCTCCAGTCTGAGTACACTAATAATACTGTTTTATAATATCACATTGAATACGCAATTAGCATGTCCATTCTGCGCAAAAATACAACTTTGGCAGCATATGCCAACCACTATGGCCTGACATTGTATTTTTACATTGTAAGTTTGACCCGAATCAGTCAAAGCAAGAAAGGACAACAGGTATGCAAAACCATGACACAAAATAAAATCCATCAGTCGGACATTTTTAATCGGAATGCACAGAAATGGGGTATACACTAGACACGAAACATATAAACCCATCATACCAAGTATGCAACAAATCGTTTTAAGCATGTCCGAAAAAAGTGTATTTTAGTGCATAACAAATGCCGATTAGAAAAGCCCGCCAGTCGGTTCTTTTTACATGTAATCGAAATATACAAAAAAACGACAAACATTGACAATCAACATGTACAACCTTCATAGAAACTTTAAAAGAAATCGGCCAGTGTCCAGTAAAAGTCTACATTAGTGCCGGACAGTCGGGTATTACGGAAATAGCGCACATCGTGTTTATATGCCCGTGTACAAGGTATGTCTGAGATATAAGTCTATACAGAGACTAAACCTTAAGTTTCCGTTTCGGACTTCTAATAATGTACAAGGGTAATACCCACTGTAAATATGTTTACAAAATAAAAACTGACGCCGCCACAAAAAATCAAATGATTAATGCTGAGAAAAATTGAACTTTATGCACTTTCTTCTATGTTCTAGGCACCTTCAAGCGTAGTATGTGGGCTAGTTTATTTAATAGTAATTTAAGTGCTAACATAGAGAAGGTGCTATGCACAGGTGTCTCACATGTTGCACACTTTCCTCCTCCAATATCCAATCCAAGTCCAATATAAAAAATAAACTATTAAGATATCATATGAAGAAAATATGTATGGTATGTTGACTTTTTGATATGTTGAGTGGGATACCACATATTTAATATTTAGCTTTGCAGTTTTTGTCACATTAATTTTAAACCAATACAAGTATTCTTGATTGTATAATGCAGGTGGAGGTTTTAAAACCACGAAGTAGAGGGCGCTGTTTACTTTTACGGGATGCTGGTGTTTTTGAATTGACAACAGAGGGCGGTACTCATTTTTCCTTCGTGAGATTGAGTTGCGATGTGAATTGTCTACGCAGAAGTTTCAGAAGTACCACAAGAAGGCAATTAGTTCATGATTAGCATAGAACTACCTCAACTATACTGCCTGTATGTGTCTGCAACAACTAACAGCAAATTCATTTTGTTATGAATTGCCCAACATACAGGCCACAGACTGCATTTAATTAACAAAGCAAAAATTCATATAAATAATTTTAGTGCCAGTAGTGAAAGTGATAAAATTATTTCCATAGCTCAGTTCATTCAGACCAGTCTAAATACCAGACAGTGACTGTGTTTTGAATGAGTTGGTAGCATTAATATTGTTTTGATTTTTTTTTCTTGATTTTTTTGGTGATGAATGACCATTTTTATCTTCTCCGGGTGATATTGTGAGTTAATTAATATTATTATAAATGACGTTTACAATTGATATGGCGCTAGATGGTACACATCAACCACAGTTTGTAGTTAAGTTCGTAATTGCAATGTTCAATGAATTAACCAATTATATTTTACTAAGTATACTTCACTGTAAAACCTGAAACATATTAGGACAGTTGTCTTACAAATAAAATGGGCCAGTTATTTAACCTCAAACCATTTCTCTTCACCCTATTTTCGTCCATAAATTACCTATTTTGACACCGATTTCGACTTTGTATATCAACATATTTTATTTTTATACTTGTATGTTTTTACCTAAAAACCACGCTTAGAACAGAATCCAAAAAAAATGACGTGCATGTGAACACTGTAAATATAAGTGTACATGGAATCATGGGAAGAAACGGTGTGCATTGCCGTGTGATAACTGCCATAAAAGTGATTGACAGGTCATACTTGTTTACAACTCTGGAAAGACAATTAGAATCTACCAGGTGTGCTTGTGATTTACATAACAAAGGATGTTTACAATCTACTGACTTGCCTATGTGCGACAGCTGGTAGCAAGACAAATTCTGATTGGCTTATGTGGAAACCCAGGTGGTGTACCTGAATCTGAGCCATTTATGTTAGGCTTGACTGAGGACAGTTGGGGGTCCATCATTTCAACTGAGTACTTTATGTGTTGCTGCTGCGATATTGTGATACAAGTGATACAGGCTTCAATCATCATTCTGTGAGACTTGTATGAACTTAACTGATCTGCGATCTCTTCATTGTTGTGTTGCAGAAACCATTGACTATCAACAATTTCAACATCCTGGAAATGTGAATTATCACCAATGCACACTTCCCTAAGCAATCCCATATTTTATTGAATTTATTTTTTGTATTTTTCTGTGCTTTGTTTCTTGTAATTATTTTGAGAGGTATTATAGAAGTCAGGAGCTTTAACTTGGTATTTTGGTGTATGTGTATTTCATTCCTAGTTCAATCTATTGTCTTGTCATTCTAGCAGTGAAAGAATCCTCCTATCCAGTGAGAGTTCTGTGACAACCTCAGTAGTGACCCCCCCAAATAAAACCATAAAGGGCGGTGGTCGCCGTGCCGCGTCCAGTTCGATATAGAAAGGAGTGCGAAGAAACGAGTGACCATGAAATGCAGAACTACTAGTATATTACTTCGATGAAAAAATAATGTGACGCCCTTGAGCGAAGGATACACATTTTCTGTGCATATTTTCACCATATGCATGTATAAGGAGAGTTTTTTCCGATACAACTATAGGCGAAGGCGAGAATATTCAGTACAATTATGGGCGAACGAGAGAATATTCAGTACAATTATGGGCGAACGAGAGAATATTCAGTACAATTATGGGCGAAGGATAGAATATTCAGTACAATTATGGGCGAAGGATGGAATATTCAATACAATTATGGGCGAAGGAGAGAATATTCAGTGCAATTATGGGCGAAGGATAGAATATTCAGTACAATTATGGGCGAAGGATGGAATATTCAGTGCAATTATGGGCGAAGGAGAGAATATTCAATACAATTATGGGCGAAGGATAGAATATTCAGTATAATTATGGAAGACGGGGAATGTTTTCGTCACGAATATGGGCGAAAGAGGGTGTTTTCAATTAGAACTTGCTGCGAAACCTAATAGTTTACCGGGTAAGCAGAAGAAGAATGCGATGGAGAGGGTCATACTAATTACTGCCCAGGGCGAAAATACTCGCTTATACACTGTTATAAAGATATATTAAAATAGCAAGGACCGTGAATGTCACTAACAACAAACACAACAATAGATAATCGCCCTGTGTCTTTATTTTATATGCAGTCACGTAATAATACATTTGATCTCAACAAAAAATGTGAGATTTTACGACAGGTATGTTAAAATGATTTCAACCAGTTAAGTTAGCAAAATAATAATATAAAAAAAAAATGGATTCAATCAGTTTTTAATTCTCAAAACTAATGTAAGTAGTATACTGGTGAATAGTGGATAGTATTTTAACTGGAATGCGGGGGCTTTCCTTGGCGTTTCGATAGTGGAATAAATTATGTTTCATCGGTGAGCTTTGTTTACGCTAGTAACATCCGCATCGCTTATGACTTTATTATAATTAACGGCAAGAAAAACCAAAAAAATCGACATATTCAAACTAAAATACAAATAAATATAATATAAAGGGTTATAAAAAAAAAAAAATTGGAGCCTCATACCTACATCGGATTTTAATCAGATTGGTCAGTTTCACAGATGCCGACTGTATGATTCCAATGGTTTTTCACTCTTATTTGTATTGAAAATTTACTTCGCCCACATTTGTACTGAAAATACTCTCCTTTGCCCATATCCGTGTTGAGAATATACGCATTTTATAGTCACGCACCCTATTTAAGATCTTGTTCCTTTGTTTTAGTAGCACCCGGTCATATGAGTTACATCTGTGACCAAAATGGACCGTAAATGCTCCAAATAGTGTGCATGAAACGAAAAATTAAAAAAAAGTACACATGTAATACTTAGTACATCACTTGTGATGGAAGGAAATCACTTGAAGGAAATCGGTTCATGCATGTACAAGGTATGACAGAGGTCGCACAGAATCCAAAGCCCTTGTTCCTGCACAGGAGTCCAACAGGGGCTAACCTGATCTTATTCATTTATTCAGGGAAAATTCTATTCTATTGTGTGGAAATAAAACTGCAAATATTTTACAAATATTAAAATTTTTATTTTTATATTCACAGAAAATTGTGTTGATAATAATTTACATTCAGTTGGTTGTTGCTATAAAAATAAAAAAAACATATTTGGAGTACCACCAGAACAGACTTATTTGCATGTTTTTTTTCATATAATTATAATAAATCAATTTACATATCCCCCAAAATTGAGGTCCTCAAAACATGTTTGTGAAAAATAGACTTTTAATGTTTGCACATACTATGGTAATCATCACAAGGTCATCTTCCAACCAAATGTACAAGGCTATTTTTAAACTATGTTTACCTTCATTTGCATATCAGTTTCTGCAGACTACAACTTCAAAAACAGAAATTTCAAATTTGTTTGTGATTTTCACCAAATACTTATGTTGGTGAAAAGTTGAAAACAGCATAATTATATTTGTGATTGTTGTTACTCTTCAGTGTGTTTAATCATGTGTTGTTTCAGTTGAGCTGGTGTAATAAATCCATGTTTACAAATCTGACATCTGTGTGGATATTCATGTGTGTGGTGAATGACGACATGAACTTTGGCTTCACCTGACTGACTGAATCTTTTATCACAATATTCACATTTATAGGGTTTCTCACCAGTGTGAATACGAAGGTGTACTTGTAGGTGACCTGACAGACTGAATCTTTTATCACAATATTCACATTTATAGGGTTTCTCACCAGTGTGAATACGAAGGTGTACTTGTAGGTGACCTGACAGACTGAATCTTTTATCACAATATTCACATTTATAAGGTTTCTCACCAGTGTGAATACGAAGGTGTTTTTGTAGGTCACCTGACTGACTGAATCCTTGTCCACATACATGACATTTATAGGGTCTTTCCTTAGTGTGTGTTCTCATATGGTTGTCCATGTGAGTTGCTTGGTTGAATGCTTTTCCACATTGAGTACATTTGTAAGGTTTTTCACCAGTATGGATTTTATGATGTGTCTTCAGGTTACTTGACGTTGTGAATGCTTTACCACATACATCACATTTATATGGTCTTTCATTGGTGTGAGTTCTCTTGTGATATTCCATGCTACCTTTTATATCCGTAGAGTATTTACACTGATCACATTTATATCTCTTAACAGAATCATAGTTTCTATGTTGATATTTTGAATGTTTTGTCAAATAGTTTGGATCTGTAAATATTCTCTCACACTTGGTACAAATGTAGGATTCACCATCTGCAAATAAATGAGAACATTTTGAAGTTATGATTAATTTAGTTTTGTTTTCATTTTAACTTGGGTAAGTGAACTCTACTAATGTGATATGGGAAGTGTTTAAAAGTTGAAGGCACATTATCAGATATGCACATTCAAAGTAAGGCACTTCCAATTAAAATTCTTTTAAGTTTGTATTTCAAATACTGCATAACCTAAATAACCATGCAGTTTTGACAAATAAAAGCTTGTTTGAAATATTCCATATAAATGCATAATACTGCATCACCTGAACACTGTCAAATCTTAAAACTGCCCCCAGTGGCAGCAATGATTTATTTTTTGAACTGTTGTTTTTTTGTATTGAAATTATCCAAAACAATTTGTTTCTTGATTACCAGGCCCATAGTTGTTTTTTAAGATTGTTGTGTGGTTCGGGCCAAATGACAGTACCAGGCAAAACTTTCAAGATTTTGTACCTTTTGCTTTTTACTATCACTCTGTACAAGTGTATTCAGTGAAATAATTAAAATTAAAATACACCTACCTTCTGTCATTTTTATTTCATCAAATTTAATTTGGATTCCTAATTCTTTGGCATATTGTTCTCCATAATAGACCAACAATTCACATCCTTTGGAAATAGCTTTAAAACTTCTGTAATATATTTCACCATGGTACTGGAATGCGACTAAGTTTTGTTCACTTTCATTTCTGGCACAGTTTATGAATCTCATCCAATTTGATTTGGTTTCCTCTTTCCCATCAACAAAGTAGTTTCTCTTGTCTTGTTTAGAAACCTGGAAACAAATAGACAAGTTTCTCAGTTCTTCATACTATATTATTGTTCAAATAAAAAATGTTCTGTCTTGGTGATTAATGTTTTTGTTATGACTATAATTCATTACCATGCCAACTTTTCTTTCAAAGGTTTAGCCCTATTTTGTCAATGGGTTATAGTAATTGAGATTCATAATTTTAACTAATTTTTAAAACAAATTTACATTCATATTTTCAGAGACACAGAATGGTATATGTATTTGTACAAGTACACCTTTTGTTACATCAAAAGTAGTGTACTAA